GCAGACAGACAGAAACCAGGGAAATAAATGGCCTTATCCATTCTTCACATAAACTTCCCGCACCAACCTCATTACAGGATTTATTAGCAGAATGATAAGGGAGAGTCCTTATATACGCAAGGCTTTCAGTGGGCTATACCTGGTCTACTTAGATTGGGAGGTATAGCTATGGGGCTAGCTTGCTGGAAAATGTCAGTGTCAGAAGAAAAAATTAACTGTGTATAAAATGCAGAAAATAGCTTCTTTGATGGAAGTGATGCATGCATGTCCTTTTTAGAGATCTCATATGTTAAATCTGGACTACTCTGCATTGTAATATGGCAAAGAAGAATGGGGAGATGGCTTCACACACACACACACACACACACATACACACACACACATGTATACACATGCACACACACATACACACACAGGCACACACATGTACACAGATACACACACAGGCACACACATGTACACATACACACACAGACACATACACACACGTACACACATACACACATGTGTACACATGCACACACACATACACACAGGCACACACGTACACATACACATACACACACACATAGACATACACACACATACACACACACACAGATTTGAAAATCTGACTATGTTGTCTTATATTCACCCACTATTTTTGTGAAAATTAAAGCACTTAGAACAGGACCTGGAATAGAGTAAGTGCTCAATAAAAGTTATTATCAGAGACTGGATTTGGGGACAGATAAGAATGTGCTATGGAGAGCCAAGGGTAGTGCCTAGAGGTAGATTCTTATGCTTTGTTGTAGAATGAAAAGAGCATAGATTTTTAATACTTGGGTTCAAATCCTAGTTCCAACACTTACTAGTTTATCAGGGGAGCCCCTAACCCTCTGGACTTCAGTTTATTCATTTGCAGATGGGAGTGGTAATCCTAATTTGCAATTCCATCTTGCACAGTAGGGGTGATATATGTAGGCAGCTGGCACAGTGTCTAAGTGAAAGTTGATGTTCAAGAAAGGCTAGTGCCTGAATGCCATTATGAGTGGAAACGGAGTAAGTGTGGTAAGGACTGGGCAAAGAACAGGACCAAGCCTGGGACGCCCTAAGCCACTGCTTCTGGGTTTAACCGATCACTTTAAGGGTGCCCTGTGGGTTCAGCACCTCCCAGTCCACACATTAAAGCTTAGTGCCTACCTGGCCCCTTCTGTCTGAGTCATGATTAAACCACATGCGAATACATCCTGAGAACCTTCTAAATCGCAGGCCAGGACTGGGCACTTTGGGGGAAGCTGGTGTTAAGGTGCCAACTCTGCATCCAGGGCTGGCCATGGAACGTGTTCTCGCCACTAGAATACGAGTGGAGAAGAGGGTGTTACCCGGTCAGGGCTCTTAAAAAGCTTTCTGCACGGTCTCTTCTTTCCAACTACTGGATGCAGTAGACCAGAGACCCTCGGGGTCAGCAGAGCCACAACCCAGAAGGAAACTGGGTGCCTGTGCTCATCTACCTGGGACACTAGCCATGGGTGGTTCTGTGAGCGGGAATGAATTTCTGTTATGTGAAGCCTCTGTCACTCAGAGACGTACTTGTTAGGCAGCTAGCATTATACTGACTAATACATTCTGTTAGAGTGACTCAGAATTCAGAGTGCACATGTGAATCATTCAAGGTACCTGCTCAGGAACATGTTATTTTTAAAAAATTTTTAAAAACATTTTTTTAAAGAGCTGGGGTTTTTCTCTGGCACCCTGGCTGGAGTGCAGTGGTGCCATCATAGCTCACTGTAACCTAAAATTTCTGGGCTCAAGTGAGCATTCCACCTCGGTCTCCTGAGTAGCTGAGATTACAGATACATGTTACCACTATCCCTGGCTAGAAATCTATTTTTTTTTAATTAGTAAAGTTTGAAGATACAAGACCATCTTTTGGGGGATTGGTGATTAAGAAGCTGTTGGCCATCTGTGTAACAGTGCATTTGTTTAATGGAGGAAAGCATGGGAGAATGTATGTGATAACAGACAAACCCTTCAGTTTTGACTTTAAAGTTTTAAAAATCTGGTTCTCGGAAATACCAGCAATCCCATTACTGGGTATATACCCAAAGAAATAGAAATCATTCTATTATACAGACACATGCATGCATGTACTCATTGCAGCACTACTCACAATAGCAAAGACATGGAATCAACCCAGATGCCCATCAATGATAGACTGGATTAAGAAAATGTGGTACATATGTATCACAGAATACTATGCAGCCATAAGAAGGAACAAGATCATGTCCTTTGCAGGGACATGGATGAAGCTGGAAGCCATTATCCTCATCAAACTAATGCAGGAACAGAAAACCAAACACCGTATGATCTCACTCATAAGTGGGAGCTGAATAATGAGAACACATGGACACAGGGAGGGGAACAACGCACACTGGGGCCTGTCTGTGGTGGGGTGGATGGAGGGAGAGCATCAGGAAGAACAGCTAATGCATGCTCGGCTTAACACCTTAACTGCTGTCGATAGGTACAGCAAACCATCATGGCAGATGTTTACCTCTGTAACAAACCTGTGAGTTCCACACATGTATCCTGGAACTTAAAAAAGAAACGTGTATCTCATTTTTAAAAATCTGGTTCTTTTTTATCTTCCCCCTGCTCTCCTCTCCCTCCAGGTTGGCACAGAGCAAGTGCTCAATAAAGGCTTGAAAAATTGATCTGAATGAAATTAAATCTTATTTTTGTTCTTTCTCTAAAAAGAATCTTGGTATTAGCTCAACTAATCCTTTTGCTCCATACAATTGGCTAATGCCACCTTCATATTTTTGATACCATTAAGCCCCTGCTGCCTCTTCCTTAAAGCTCAGGGATACTGCAGGGCAACGGGTCTTGTGTTTTCACTTCTCTCCTCCAAGGCTTTGTTTTGAAAAACCCTGCTGCCAGGGCAGGCTCCAGTGTTACAGTGCTCACAGAAGCACACACCTTCCCTTCCAACCCTCTGCCCAGTTATTTCATTCCCTCTCTAACAAGCACTCATGGAGCCTTTACTATGTCTTCAGCACAGTTTAGTTTATCAGGATAAGATCATGAACCACACACGAGGTCCTTTCATGGAGCTTATTTCTAGCGTGGAGGAGACACATATTAAAGATAGACTGCAGCTCACAGGCCACATGCAGCCCACCGCCTGCTTTTGTAAATAAAGTTTTATTGGAACACAGCCTTGCAGTCCATTTGTTTGCTCATTATTGATGGCTGTGTCTGCACTACCATGGCAGAAGTGAGTACTTGTGATACAGAATGCATGGCCTGTGAAGCAAAAGTATTTATACCTGGCCCTTTACAGAAAAATAGCTTCCTATGCCTGCATTAAACAAATGAGTATGCAGGAAACAGATGTGCCCGTGAACAATGCTATGATGGGTGATGAGACAGACAGTAGGTGTGCATGTGTATGTGTGTGTATGGTACACATGTGTGTGCTGGTTTTAGAATAAGTGGCCAGGAGAGGTCTCACTGAGCAGCTGACATCTCAGAGGGGACTTCCACACCAGAGGCAAGCCGGAGCAAACACTGTTTCTGTCTGGTTTGCTCACCTGTGTCCCCAGGCTAGCGTAGGCCACAGGCTGGACACCTCCAGAGCACTGGTGTGAAGATGTGGATGTGAGCTGGTGATGCAGATGCCCTGGAGAACCAAACATATGTACTCCTTGCAGCCACTGTCAACTACGGCATGTGCTGTGTGTTCATCCTGTCCATTTGCTGCCCTGCCTGGGAGGTGCCTTCTTTTTCCTGCAGCTGTTCTGACCACCCTCATAGCACCGTGTGTGTGTGTGTGGGTGTGTGTGTGTGTGTGTCTGTGTCTGTGTGTGTGTCTGTGTGTGGTGTGTCTGTGTGTGTGTCTGTGTGTGTGCTCTGTGTGTGTGTGTGTGTGTGTGTGTGTGCTGTGTGCATGTATATGCACCTGATGCTCTCCTCGAACATTCCATGGCCCACCTTGCCATCTTATCATAACACCCTGATATCCTGAATGGACACGTTCCATCCACCACGAATGCAATAGAACCTGGAATGTTGGCCAATGAGAATCAGCAATGTAAAGGGAGAAACAGAAGTTCAGTTCCCTTTGTTCCGATAGAAACTTAGTGTTGTTTTCATCAACCGAGAAACACAACCAAAGAGGAGCCATGAACATCATCCCACGGAGAGAGTGCATGGCCGTGTCAAACCCTGACCCGAACCCACCTTCTCAGTCCGACCTTGACCTCTGCTGGAGGCACCTGCTGGATGTGGGCACAGGGCCAAGGATGGGAGGGTCCTCACTTGCACTGCATCCTTGTCATTGTACAGATGGGGAAACTGAGGCTAACAAAGAGGAGAAGTCTTTCCTACTGACCCATGTCTAAGAAATAAATAGCAAAGCTAGAAGTGAGTCCTGGGTAAACTGAGGCTGCGATACTCCAGTCACACACTCACACAGGTACCATGTAAGCTGGTGGTTGGGGCCTGGACCTAGCAGTCAGGCCATTCCACCTACTCACTCATGCAAGTCACCTTCCATCTCTGTCTTATCTGGAACTGTCCTGAGCCTTAAATGGGTTCACACAAGTCAAGTTCTTAGCCAAGTAAAACACAAATTCAATGATTAATATGTCTTAGACATGGCCATGATTATTGCCACATCTTTCACTCTAGACTGTAACTGCTCAGGCACAGACTGTGACTTGGTTGACTTTGATTCATCACAAACCAGGGTCGCCTCTGGCTCAGAGCCCACCAGTGTGAAGTGGGACGTCATCCTCCACTCATCTTCAGGTGAGCACATTGCTCACCTTCTGTGGAGGAGACCGTAGACACTCAGCTACAATTAAATTAGGCCAAAGGGAAGGCAGCAGCCACACATCCCCAATCAGGCTCTGCTTCTTCTGGGCTCTGAGCTCCCCATCTGTATGAGGAGAGTCCTCCAGCTTGGTGATGCCATGAGCCCTGGGCGGGGCAGTGAGGAGGGAGAGGCACCTTACCTGGCCCACTGCAGAAGGAGGCGATGATGGCCAGAATGCACACGATACTCAGGTAGGGGACCCAGGGGGCACGGTCCTGGGAGAAAACAGTGGGTGGTCAGGTGAGGAGGTGATGGTGTGTCCAGAGGACTGGAGTTCCCACCTCAGCTCCTCCTCCATTCATCTGTGTGACCTTGAACAGGTCACTTGATGTCCCCAAGCCCCAGTTTCAGCATCTATAACATGGCAACAATCCTTCAGACATTCCATCTGCTTATTTTATAGCTGTGATGAAATCGGAGGAAGCCAGTGATGAGTTTTACATAGTCCTGGCATACAGGAAGTGGTAAATAAATGAATAACTCACATTGATTGACTGCTTAGTTTGCAGCAGGCAATATGAGAAATTTTCACAGCTTTATCACATTTATAAAAGTTGTCTCAGTTCTTGTATTATTAAACAAAAGACTGTATTTGTACCTCTGCCATCCTGCAAGGTGCGAGATGAGTTAATTCATTTCATGGAATGTGTCTGGAGAAGCTGTCACTCATCTGGGGGGTGGGCGGCTTGGTGCTGGGTGCAAAAGGATGTTTGGGGATCGCTCCTACTCTAGCAGCTGGATGGCTGAGCATTAGAACACAGTGTCACCAGTTCTGAGTGTGTGGGGGTGCCAGGGCTTCCCCAGGAGAGGCCAGCTGACCTCAAGGGAAGGTAAGAGCCTGCGTTTATCTGTGTAGGCTGAGCCGGAGTCATCCCAGTGGGAAAGGAAAGGAAAGAGGTTCCAGGAGGGGGTTCTGCATACACAAGGGCACCATGCGGGGTTGAGCTGCAAACAGTCTGGAATGGAGGGCAAGGTGTACAGAGGGCAGACAGAGGAGTGGGGAACTCCTTCCTTCCCCTTGTTCTGTGTCCAAATCTATTAGCTGTAGGGGTTGAGAAGAGCTTCGTGGATTCTTGTACACTGTAAGGCTTGCTTCTGTACCAAGTCGCTCACTCACTCATGCAGCTGATTGGTCTTAGCTGCCCTGGGTGCCAGGCACTGGGATGGAAGGGGAAATGCAGATATGGTACAGGCATGACCCTTCCCCTACAGAACGCACTCACTGTCTATTCAGAGAGAGAGATGTGTCAACAGTGAAAGTCAATGGTCTGTGATAAGTGATCTCACAGCTTTCCCCTTTAGGACTTATGGGAACACAGGAGAGGGTACCTCACCCAGACTTGGAAGCAAGAGGAGGCTTCCTGCAGAAAGAGGTGTCCAGGAGTGTCCAAGGCTTCCTGAGTCCAGAAAGCAAGGATAAGCTAGCCAAGCACAGGAAAGCCTTAGGAGACGAAACTACCAGACTCCCTGGGGAGCTGCCAGGAGCAAGATGTGGGGCACTGGGTGAGACAAGTGTGGGCCAAGCCAGGAACAGCACCGAAACCTTGTGAAGCGAGGCTTAGGTGGGGTTCGTGGGCTTCAGGCTTTGTTTATAAACTTCCGGCACAAGTTTCAGAAAGACAATGGCCCGGAGCATTGCCCAGCTGGCTTCCTAAGAACTTCGGAGGACTGTCAAGATGGCTGGGCTCGGGACAGCTGGGGCCTGTCCGGAAGGAACTGCGTCTGCAGGCACATTGTCTCTGAAGGCAACACTTCCACCTCCTGCCAGTCAGCGTGCTCGCCAGCCCCACCTCTTCGAAGGGCACCCATCGGATGCCACCATGATAATAGTGGCTTTTTCTAGATGCATTTGGGCCACTAAGACATTTGACAGGTGATCAAAACATGCACCTATCAATTTCCAGATGCATTTTTGAAAAATGCAAAGATCGATCAATTGCCGTAACCTTGTTTCGCACTTCCCAGGGCACCAAGATGAGATGGAGACACTGAGTCCATGTTCAGTGCATCCCAGCCTGCCGCTTTCTGGTGGTGTCACCTTGGGCAGCTTGTTTATTTACATTTATCCCTCAGTTTCCTTATCTCCATAAAAGAAAGAAATACCAATGCTGTAAGGGTGAAGTACCTCATCGCCCCTCCTCCTCCACATACATCCACTGAGTGCTTGTTCCGAGCACTTTCTGCGTGTTCTCATTTCATCCCGCAACACCCCTGGAGGAAGGAATGACTGTTCCATAGAGATGAGGCCCTGAGAGGAGCTGACTTGCGGAAGTTTCATCACGAGTAAGGAAAAGCAGAGTCCACACAGGCTGTCTCGCTCCAGAGCCACCATTTGTAAAATTTTGACAGCTGGGGAAGTGGCTGTTATGCAGCACCTGACACTCTTGCTGGGAGGTGACAGCCGGAAGGGGCATCTTAGGGCTGTCTAGTGCAAGCTCATCTATTCTGTAGATGGGTGAACTGAGGCTCAGAGAGGGAAAGTGTCTTGCCCAAGATAACTCAGCTCATTGGCAAGAGTGACAGGACCAGAAGTCAGGTCTTTCATCTCCCAGTCCAAGGACCCCTCACCAAACCCTCCCCGTGAGGCCCCGAGCAGCTGAGATGCCCTGGGGAGAGCTTTATCACAAGCCTTGTCTGTAGAAGGATGAACCCACAAATCGAAGGCCCCAAAATCACGAAGCCAGAGGCCAGCTTCGTGCTTATCTTCCTCAAGTGTGACAAGCACATCCTCTCACCTGCAGGGTCAGTGTGATGGTGAGGGTCCCAAAGAAGACGGCCATCAGTCCAAAGCCACCAATGAGAAGGGGTCTCCGTCCCAGGCGCTCAATGACCAAGCCCTAGTCCAGGGTAAAAGAGAGAGAGAGAGAAGGCTGTTATTCCATTTCTAGCCACAACAGGGGAGCGTGGCACTGGGAACCAGCAATGGCATTGTGATTAAAAACTGCCTTTGACCCTGAGACAGCTAGGCCACCATCTTCACAGCCACAGCCCTAGAAGCAATGCTCTTTATGAGAAAGGGAAAAGAGAGGGAGAGAAAGTCACAGGTCCTGAGCACCTGCAGGGTTAATACGAGCATCTTTCCTCCCAATCTTCCTTGCTAGGGTGGTATCCTCAAACAGGAAGTTTGGGAGAAGGAACTGGATGCATATGGTCACCACAGCCCTTCTCCTCCTTCAGAGCCAGCCTACATGGAAGGCAATTCCTTGGTATCTCCATGTTGTGGGCTTCATGGGGGTAGGCACCCACAGCAGGGCACAGGGGTGGGAGTCGGCAGAGAAGCCCATGTTGTTGTCCACTCTGCCTTTTTCTGGGGGAGTCAATTTCATTGTGGACGTGATGTGGGGAGTCCCTGGGGAAGACCCTGAAGCTCTGTCTTCCAAGCCAGCTTCCCTCAGCCTAGGACTGTCACTGACCTCCATCTGGCTGGCCCCCGTCCATTTGGTCAGGAAACAGCTCCTCAACTGCCAATAACTGAAAGAGTAATTGTAGCCAAATGTCAGAGACAGGAAAACCTGGGTTTATATTGTGGCTTTACTACTTTCCAGATGTATGAACTTTGTCATATGACTTCACTTCTCAAAGCCCCAGGGCCTTTATCTGTGACAAGAGCATCAAAATATCCTTTAACAAAGGTGTCTGGAGTGGAAGGGTGTGTTAAATAAGAGACTACATGCATCATACACGTTAGGTACTCAGATTATGTGAGGTACCCTCCTCTCACACCCATTTCACACAAAAAACACTGAGGGTCAGAGAGGTGAGATAACTCAGCAGATACCATAGAGCAAGTAAGTGAGAGAGGGCCAGAAATTAAGCCCAGAGTGTTTGAATCAAAATCCATGGCTTTTCTCAATGAGGCAATCAGGTAAGGCTTCCTGCAGGAGGCAGTAGCAGGCAGAGATGCGGTGAGCTTGTCAGTTGGGGGGATTAGTGGGAGCAAAGGTTTGATGGCTGTAAGGTCCCCATCATGACAGTCATTTGGCTTGGACAAGGGGAAGGGTGATACTGCTGAAGGCCATGAAGCCAGAGCACACATGCCTCCTGCCAGCTTCAGGTGACGGTGCGAAAGTCTTAGCACTGAGACGAACGTTTGCAATCTTGCCCCAAAGCCTCAGGGTTTCTCCGCAATGCAGTCCAACTGCAGGGACCCAGTGCCCTCTACCTATTCCTTTTCCTCATACCCTGCTCCTTAGAGGGAGGCAGATGAGAAGCCATCTAGGCAAAGGGCATTCTCCCCCAAGCTTAGCATGGACTGTTGTTCTGCTTGGCAGAGTGGGCACTGAGGGGCGAGTGACAGCGGCCTATCTAAGGGTATAGCCCTGTTGTCAGCTGAGCACCTGGCCATGTGGTGCTGCCTGGTACCTTGGACCTCTCAGTCACCTAAGCATGAACATTGAGGGGACCAGTGGGCACCAGCCCAGAAAGTCAGAGGCCTGGGAGGTAAAAGTGCCTGGCTGATGACTATGTATCTCAAAAAGCATCCACGACTTCTGGTCAAAAATGCCTTTCTCCTGTTGCCTAGGGAGGAAGGGCAGACTCAAGCCTCTAAACTTGGCCTCTTGGAAACTTGGCCCAGTGGTATCCAGAAGCACATAAGCCTGAAGACGGGTGACCTGAGCTCAAGTCCTGGCTCGGCCACTTAGCCTTCTTTGCACCTGGGACAGGTTACTCAGCTTGTCCAGGCCTCAGGTTCCCCACCCAGAAAATGAGAATGATAATACTGTCTGCAGGGGAGCTGTGAGATAAAGGGAAAGAACTCACAGTGTCTGAAATAGACACATGAACAAAAGAGGTTGCTAATAAACGGCAGAAAGTATCTTATTGATTTTAACTAAGGAATGCCCTGGGGGTGGGGGTCTGTCCCCAACCCTTACCTGTAGCTGGCTGTGTGGCCTTGAACAAGATAATTAACCCTTTCATGTATTAATTTCTCATCTTTTCTGATGTTAACAGAGTTAGTCTAGATATCAATAGCTAATGATCATTTACTGAGCATCTACTATGTGCCAGGCATTGTATTAAGCACTTTTCATGCATCAACCTGTTTAATCCTGACAATAACTTTGAGTAGGTTTTATTATTTGCTCCATTTTACAGGTTAAAAAAAACAAAACAGAGGCTTTGGAAACTAGTGCTGGTCACATGGCTGGCAAGCGGTAACGCTGGGGTCATCTACAAAATCTTTTCTGGTTGCAGTGAGGTTACATTTTCTTGACATTAAACTAGAAATAGACAATGCCACCACTTGGTAACAGCCGAGTGTCCCACCTGCATGTCCAGCTCCTGGACCCGAAGAAGGAAGGGCACTGATCACTTTTCTGTCCCTTCAAGTTCCTGGCTCTCTGATTCTTTTTCTTCACTTGAAGGCCAGTCACCTTCATCTTTGCTTCCCCAGAGCCTAGAAGAATACCTGACAGGTGTGGTGTAAATGTTTGTGGAGGGAGTAAATATCTGTCTTATTTTATTTTATTTTATTTTTTTGAGATGGAGTCTTGCTCTGTACCCCAGGCTGGAGTGCAGTGACTTGATCTCAGCTCACTGCAACTTCTGCTTCCTGGGTTCTAGTGATTCTCCTGATTCAGCCTCCTGAGTAGTTGGGATTACAGGCGTGCAACACCATGTCTGGCTAATTTTTATATTTTTAGAAGAGACAGGGTTTCACCATGTTGGTCAGGCTGGTGTCGAACTCTTGACCTCGTGATTCACCCACCTTGGCCTCCCAAAGTGCTAGGATTACAGGTGTGAGCCACCATGCCCAGCCTGTGTGTGTCTTTATAAGTAGGCAGAATGATTCTTATTTGCAGAGGAGGACAGTAAGCTTTGAGAAAGCTGAGGGACAGTAACTTCACTTGGTGGGAAGTGGGAAGGGAAGTCAGGCCAAGTGAGAGTCATGAAGGAAGCAAAGACCAGCAGCTTCTAAGAAAGAGAGAGGAAGGGAGAGAAGGAGAGAAAGAGGGAGCGAGAGAGAGAGAAAGAGAGAGAGGCCGGCATTTAAAGTATCCCTTCCCTCTAGGCCCTCATGAGCTGGGTCTCCTCAAAGGGGAGACACTGCTGGGGCTGCCATGCCAGGAGCAGCACGAGTGAGAGGGCTGGGTCCCAGTGCCAAGAGGGTCCCCTGGAGAGGTGATGGGAGGAAGGGCCCAGAGATATCAGGGGCTTAGAGAGATTATGAAATTATGCGCCCAGAGAGATTATGCTGATCTCTGTGTAACTCATACTAATTTCAGTGTAACAATACAACACATGTCACTCTCAGTGCAACACATGTCACTTTCAGTGCAACATGTCAATCTCAGTGCAACACACGTCAATCTCAGTGTAACACATGTCACTCAGTGCAACACATGTCACTCTCAGTGCAACACATGTTAATCTCAGTGTAACACGTCACTCTCAGTGCAACACATGTCACTCTCAGTGCAACGCATGTCAATCTCAGTGCAACACGTCACTCTCAGTGCAACACATGTTAATCTCAGTGCAACACATGTCACTCTCAGTGCAACACATGTCAATCTCAGTGTAACACGTCACTCTCAGTGCAACACATGTCACTCTCAGTGCGACACATGTCAATCTCAGTGCAACACGTCACTTTCAGTGCAACACATGTCACTCTCACTGCAACACATGTCACTCTCAGTGCAACACGCCACTTTCAGTGCAACACATGTCACTCTCAGTGCAACACATGTCACTTTCAGTGCAAAACATGTCAATCTCAGTGCAACACATGTCACTCTCAGTGCAACACATATTAATCTCAGTGCAACACATGTCACTCTCAGTGTAACACATTAATCTCAGTGCAACACATATCAATCTCAGCGTAGCACTCTCAGTGATCTGGGCCCAGGATCAGAGGCCAAGAGTGATTATGGGATTTATCAAAGGTCACCCGGGGCTAACTATTCAGAGAGAAGGAAATGGGATAGATGCTGTTTCACACACAGGTGCAGCTGTAAACCGTCCACACGCTTGGATTCAGTCAATCAGCTTCTGGGCATTTGTCTTAAGGAAATAGATGTTTGGTAAAGTGCATGGATGAGGATCTTCATTCGTGTGTTATGTATACTAATGAGGAAATAAAAATAATCTAGAAATCCATCAACAATTAAATTAGTTAAATAAATACTGGAATATTTAAATAATAAATATGTAGAAATTAACATAATTTAAAGAATTGTAAAATGGTAGAGAAAAATTCTCAGGGTACAATCTTAGGTGAAAAGAGTATCTGTATATACTAAAACATGTAGTTATATAACATAAAGTATATTATTTTAAGCAAATACACCCTGAAAAAATACATGCAGAAATCGTTTATAATGGCTAACTCTGGTTGGGGGAATATATGATTACTATTTTATTTGTCTGTCAGTTTTCATGATTTTCTATGGGGATTTTTGACTTAAAAACACCAAAAAGTAGATTTAGTTTGAAGTGTGTGGATACAAATCTCTGTCCCCTGTATTATGTCTTTATTCTTTTCCTATCACCAAATATTTCCAATACACATATTGGCAATTTTCCATAACTATGTAAAGTATGTTTTTGGTACAATCTAAGGATGTTACAGCTTTTCTTGTGGCTAACAGGACAGAGCCCAAAGTTAAGCTGTCACTGAGAACGAAGGTTGTTCATAACTGGAACACACAGGAACTTTGTCTCCTAAGCTTCTTAGGGGAGTTGCATTAGTGTATCCAGTGACCTGGCGCTGAAATGACAACAGAGCGTGCCATGGAAGAGCATCACAGTTGCTGGGAAATATTGTCACACTGAGATCAGCACATGTTACATTGTTATAATGAAATTAATATGTGTTACACTGTTGTAC